AGCTCACAGCCTGGCAGAGGAATTGTCCGCCTCTTGAAAACGTTGCTGGGTAGGTTGTTTCTCCACACACACACACACCCGCCCCAATACATCTTAGGCACAGTGGAGGCAGGAAAGAAAACCTTTCTGAAATTCACAACCTAATTACTCCCATCTGCTCCAGCACTGCTTCCCATTTCTGCCTGCCAGGATGCTTGTCTCCGATGCTAAGTAGCATATTATTTTCGATAAGTTGCAATCATTTACTTGAAATCTCCTTCTTCTTTAAAATGTCCCCCTGGAAAGGCAATTCATCAAGTTGGGAATGGGCAGAAACAACCATGAGAAAACCCATCCAGACGCAGCCCAGCTTGGGCGGCAGGGCAAGCACTCCTCGAGTCCTCATTAAAACCACACAGCAAGTTTCGTTTTAGGGTGGATTTGTTTAGACATCCAGCTTCTGGGACCAGTCCTTGGCTGATGGTGTCAGCAAACAGAGCTGTAGAGGAACTGCCCGCTGATGTAGATGGAGGGGATCTCGACCGGGCAGTCTCAGCAAGTTTCACAGGACCACGCTTTTGACTGCTGAAGTCAGTGGAGAGTTGAGGAGCCAAAGGCCGCACCATTTCTGGGGATCTCTTCTTTCATCATTGCAAACCTGGGTTGGCTTCTTGCCTTTCAATGTGTTGTCGTCTTCCAAGATGTCCCCACTGCATCCCTGAAGAGGCCTTTCCCACTGCTCCACCTTGCCTTTGCCTCCTCCGGTGTCTTCTGCTTGGTCTTCGGCTTCCATCTCAGAAGTCCTGGCTGGTGTGTAACTGGGAATGGGCTCTTGCCCGTGCATGACGGGAGACATGGGGATGAAAAATGGTGAGGAATATTGTACCACCACAGCCTACGTACCCTTATGAGTGGATATATCCTATGCTGGGAGTCTGTCTGGGACAGGCCCCTGCTTTCTGCATCTGCTCAGCTTGAGGAGGCTGACCACAGTAGGAAAAACTGCCTTTTCTAGAAGGAAAGTAGAGCTTGGAGGTTTGAGCATCCTTTTGTCACTGCTGAGCCACAGTCTCCTGGTAGGCAGCTGTCCTCACCCTCATTATGTTTGATTACCTTCAGGATGTTATTCTGCCTGTATTGACTGCGCACCTCTCATCTGGAGGGTTTGGAATGGGTAGAAAGCAAATTGTTGCTAAGCTGAAGAATTTTGGGGTGGCCTTGGAGGAGAAGTGGCTGGGTGCTCAGCCGTTGCACTGAGCTGGCTTCTTAGGTCCCTTTGGAAAAATGCTCTCAGGAAAATAAGGGAGGGGATGGTGGTATAGAGAACCAGGAGGAGTCTGGTATCCACCTTTGTGGATTTCTTGGGTGTCTTCACAACTCCAGGACACCTGCAGGGTACAGTCTCTTTCAAAGGCCTTGCCAGCACCGTGTCTGGAAAAGGCTGTTTCTCCTGCCCTGTGCCCCCCACCCAGGCTGTATGTCAGGCTGTGTGGTCACCCTGCCATGTGGGGACACCAGGCACAGGTACTTTAGTGTGAGGACACAGACACATGTGGGGTGCTGGTTGCCCATTTTATTTGAGTGTGAAGCTGGCTGCTCTGCAGGTGCTCCTCAGAGATGCCCAGGTTGGTGGGAAACATCTTGGAGCAGCTGAAATCTTTGGCAACTCGATGCAGTTTCCATTCTGTGTCCCTGAATCGCAGAAGAGGCAAGGAGCCAAGGAGCTATTTTTGGCTTGTCTCCTTGCCTGATTCTCTGAGGCCAATCCTGCCATCTCTGTCTGTGTCCTGCACCACAGCCACACCACTGAGCCAGCCCAGGACTGGGACCTGGGCAGTGTTCTCTGCACACAATGGCTGTGATACCTTCCTCAAGAGGGAGAAGGAGTGAGGGGGTGAGCTGGGAGCCGTTTCTCAGCTGCTGGAACAGGTCTCCATGACCCTAATGGCACCCATGAGCAGACCGCAGGCTGGTGGCTTCACGGTCCCCAGCTGCTCCCGCTGCTGGCGCTGGTGACGGTGACCCTGCTACAGCTGTGCTCCTCCGTTCTCCTCTGCGGTCAACCAGGCAGTGTCTCGCCACGGTGCAAGGGGGGACAAGGTGCGTGGCTTGTCTTTGCATTTAAAATAAACCCATATATGTGTATTTTCATCTGTGCGCATATACATATATATATATATCCATAAAAATGCATTTTGAGGCAGTGGGGGACCTTTGTGAGGTCCGAGCCCCCTCTAGCGGCATTTGCCATGGCTCTGGGGGCTGCCGAGCCAGCAGGAAAGCGGCCAAGGACAGAAAGTCTTGCATGAATTTTCCTCCCCACAGCTGCCAGTCGCTATCTTTCTTTTTGTTCTTCCTTTATTTCCCTCTCTCTTTAATCGGGAGCAGTAAATGGCAGGTCCTGAGGATTCCGAGGCACAGGCAGGAGGATGCCCGCAGCCTCTCGACTCTGGTTTGCTGCTGCACTGCTGAGGATCATTCTGCTTCATTTATTTTATTTTTATTTGGTGTGAAAACAGCAGCCTGGGGAGAGTGGGGGCCACTCACAATCAGCTGCGCAGGCACTGCAGGTTGAGTGCTGTCTGTACCGGTTCATCCCAGGCTCCTCAACCAGGGGAACAGGGGCCGCATCCCATCTCAGGGGGCATTTTAGAGGGTTGGTGCTTGCAAGGAGCCCAGTGTCCCAGGCATCCTGGCAAGAGGTGTGTTGAAGCCAGGGACAGTGCCGGGAAGATAAAAAAGCAGCTTTTAAATAATCATTTTGTCTTTCCCTCAGCTGAGCACAGCCTTCCAGGGATAAATAGGCAGCATCAGTTCTGCTAAGACACATTGGCCTTTCCATCTGTTTACTCCCTAGCCTTATTCCTAACGAGCAGCCAAGCCCAGGCCGTCTCCACACGGTTCCCGGCTGGGTTTGGGTGTCTGCTGTGGGAACATACGTCCGTTGGATGCTTGGGATGCACGCACTGGTCTGTACGTGTGGCACGGTAATAAAGCTCAGGGGTTATACAGTGCTTTTCATCAGGAAACAGCTCTCTAAACATAAACTAATTAATCACTGGTGCCTACCTGTCAGGTCAATGATTCCTGAGATTTTTAATCTAAAAATATTTCCCTTTTGAAATCCAGATGCGCCTGTTTCGGCAGCTTTTGATTTGTTTATTTGAAGGGGTTTAATTTTTGGTTTTTTTTTTTTAACTTGTGTTGCTTTCCATTTGTGTTTGGGCTTTTGATGTGCTTTAATTTAGTGCGTGGTTCTTTTGGCTTTGTTTTGGGTTGGTTTTTTTTTTTCCCTGGAAAAAATGAATTTATTATCTTTTATTTTTATAGCAGTTTTCCCTCCTGCCTGTAGCCTGTCACCTTTCTTCTTCCTAAAGGTTTGGGCCACTTTTACCTCTTGTTTCAGTTTATGGGCCACAGACCTCAAACCATTTTCTTGATGAAGTCTGACCTCTCTCCTCAGATTTATTCATCGGTGAAGCATGTGGCCGGGTGCCGGCGGTGCCATGGGAAGCCTCCTGCAGTGAGGGGAGATGCTGATACTGTCTCTTTGCGACTCAGCAGCTGCACCCGGCTCCAAATTTGGCACTCTAGCCCCATCCCTCCATAAAGAAACAGTCCTCTCTAGCATGGAATTACTTATCATTAGCTCATCTTACTGGCAAATGTACGGTTGTTGGGCTTTTACCTGTCTTTTCATTCCCCCTGAGCTTTGCTCCTTTGTTGACAATGAATGTTGAAATCACAAAAAACACCAATAAATCCTGGAGTCCTAAAAATCAGGATTTCAGCAGAGTTTGAGGCTTAAAAAAAGTCTTTACAGTGTTAGCTAAACCGCTCAACAGGGTCTTTGGCTTCCATTTTATCCTGATAATAGCTATGTCCTTAACTTACTTCAGAGTGAGGAAGGCTATACTTGGCGTTTTGCTCACATTTTTTAGCTGCTCCAGTTTACTTCCTATTGTGAACTAATTTTAGACTAGCTCTTGTTTGTGCTGCGGATCTGGGGTGTCAGATTCATCTTGGGTGTAAGTGGGCATGGCTCTAGTAAAATCCCCACATTACCCAGCTCTGGATGTGTTTGGGGTGTGTGTGTATGTTTGCAAAATGCTCTGAGCTCCTGTGCCAGATGAAATAGGGAAATGCAGTCAATTTCTCTTAAGAAATGCCTGTTTGTTCTCTCATCAAGGATTTATTTTATTTACTTGCAGCTGTGCACACCTATGCATGCAGAGGTGTCACACAGGGACACTTAGGCCACCTCCATCCTTCCAACCTGGGACATTCCCAGCAGGCAGGATGTTCCCATGTGTTTTTCCAGGAAAGCCCTCACAGGAGAGTCCACTGTATGGCTAAAATAATGGCCTTGCAAGCACTCTCCACCTTTATTTAAAGATGGAAAAACTGAGGCATGTTTAGCTCTGGGATCTGTGTGTCTTCCTCTGCCATCTGGGTTTGATGGCTGATGCAAATGGTGCAATATTAAGCTGTAAACTACTTGTTAGGTGACATGAGAGTGTGGGCTATCTGGGTGATCTGAAGTCTGGGCTACAGATTCTCAACTTCCTAGCCTATGCTTGGGTTGGGATAGAGTCCCTGTAATTTGTAGCAGCAAGAATGGGTACATTAATTGTTTTTTTGACCAGTGATAGCAGTTTTGCAGTGTGTTTGAACACAAACCATGGCTTTCTGAGTTACCTCTGTGGTGAGCTCTCTGCCAGTTCTGCCCTACTTCTTCACTGCAGGAAGGAGGGGCAGAAGCAGGGAGGAGAGCAGGAAGCTGCAGTACTGCTGTTGCTGCTGCTTGGCTGGAGAGCCAAGGAATCGTGCTTGGTGATAAGCATCTGGGAGAACCAGGATGCAAATTGCCTGTTGGGGTACCCTTTCTAAAGGAGGAAAAGCTTGGTTGATGGGGACTGAGCAGCCTGGGATGGGCATCTCCTTTTAGATGAACATCCCTTTCCCCAAGTTAAGACCTGGGCACAACTCAGGCTTTCTTCTCTGCTTTGTGTCTCATGCAGTGCTGAGCATCAGAGGAGCACAGGAAGAGGAGCCCACGGATCCCCAGCTGATGCGGTTAGACAACATGCTTCTGGCTGAGGGGGTAGCAGGCCCTGAAAAAGGAGGTGGCTCAGCCGCTGCTGCCGCTGCTGCTGCAGCATCAGGAGGAGCCGGCTCTGACAACTCAGTGGAGCACTCTGACTACAGAGCCAAACTGTCCCAGATCCGGCAGATCTACCACACGGAGCTGGAGAAGTACGAGCAGGTAACAGGCTCTTTCGTGGAAGAAGGCAGGGCTGCCCAGTAGTGGTGGTGGTGGGATGGTGGGAGTAGGAGATGAGTGCTGGGAGAGCAGCTGGAGTGATGTGTACAGCCTGGATCGCTACTGACATCTGTTGTTAGGAGTGTACAGGCAAATGCAGACTGTAGTGGAGTGAAAACATGTTTTCTTTAGGGTTGGATGGGTTGGGATTTTGCACTGGAACATGGCACGAGAATAGGCTTGGCATGGGTTTCCCCTTTGACTTTCACTTTTCAGTCTTCCTTTAATACCTTGCCAAAAATTAGCCCTATGAAGTGGGAGTCCTCTTTGAGGTGCTGGCCTCAGTGCAGGCAGTTTTCCAAGCAGGGCTTGAATCAAAATCTTCCTTGAATACTTTTTCTGCTTGAAGAGTTCCTTTTCCAGAGGAAAAAAAAACCCAGCAAAACCAAACAAGTTTCTTTTTAATTGTGAAAAATGATTCTTAAACAAAACAAAAAACTATTTGGGTCATGAATGCAGCTATTGGTAATGCTGACAATTGCATGAAAAGCTTTGCAGGCTGATGCTCAAAACACGTTTTTTTGTGAAGGCTTCCAGATGTTTTGCAGACCTCCTGTCGCCACTGCGCAGCTTGCCTTTGTGATGAATGTGGTTTCTACCCCAAGGTTGCACTGGAGTGCAAGCAAAAAAGCATCCCTCCTTTTTGGGTGCAGGACGGGCTCTGTGGCCAAGGAGCCAGGCGGGGTTTCAGGTCTCTGGTTTAGCACCATCTCTGCTGTGACAGGGCTGTGAGCAGCCTCCAGTCTGGCGCCCGTTACACCTGGCTAACTGGATGCATGGTGCATGGTGGGGCTGGGGGATGTGTCACCCCTTCAGTTGCCACACTGGCCAAACTGAGGCTGCTGGTCAGCATCTTCAGACCCTGCACCCAGGGGTGGTGTGGAGCTGCCTCAGATGACCCTGGGTTGGAGCTGGAGTCAGAGTGGCCAGGTAGGGCTCTGGTGTTGGAGAAGCTGTATGTGGTCATACCATGAAAGGCATTTTGACAGAGCATTAGAAGAGGAGGTGGCAGGGCCCACAGAGCAGGCAGAAGGCAGGTTGGAAGGATGACCTTTGGTGGCTGTCCTCAGCCCTTGCTAGCACTCCCTTGAGTGATGGGGATGGGCTGGTGTGGCATGAGGGAGCCTCAGCCTTCCCACATGGGTAGGAGTGGAGAGGATCTCACAGCTCATCTTTCAGCTCCCAGGCTGAAGAGGCAGGGAGAGATACCCCATGTCCTCTGCCACCCAAGCCCAAGGAGAAACCCTTGGCACAGCCAAGGACATGCTTCAGGGAAGAACCTTCCTCTCCTTCCTTCTCTTGGGCAGGAGTTTTGTTTGTTTGCTTTTCTGATTTTTTTTCTGCATCATTTTGATGGCCCAAACGGGCACCCAGGTAAGAGAAGCCTTTACCCCAGCCCCATGAGTGAGGTGGGCCACATATTTGCTTCTCAGAAATCAGTGAGGGGGTTGGTTTTGCCACTGAGTTGCTTTGCAAATGGCTCTGTAGGTCCACATCTCTTGTATCATCACCCACAGTCCTGCAAAAAAAACAGGGTTCAGGGTGTCTCAACCTCCACCCTCCTTTCTTCAGTCCCATTGCTGGAGGCTGGGGGAGCTCAGTGCATGGCTTCTCATGGCATTGGGCTGCTGCTGTGACAGCACAGCGCTCACTGGCAGTTTTTCCTGTAATGCTCTTTACATCACACCAAAAGGAGACAATCTGAAATTGCTTGGGTGTCTGGGAGCAAAGAGGTACCCAGCTGAGAGCTCTTGTACCCTGGGAGCTGTCAGCTGAAGCTGGTGATTAATTGGAGGGGCTCTGCTGGCCTTCAGAGTATCTCCTGGGATCTGAGCCATGGGTGGGGATTCAGCTTGGAAGAGTTGAGTGGGAGATGGTAAGTCAGGACTATGTTGCCAGTCCACAAAATCAGTATTTCTTTCCCCTGCTAGCCCATTTTTCTCCATCATGGGGTGGGAATTGTGGATGTTGTCCCTAGAGTAGCTGCCTATGTCCCAGGACCACAAAAGGCTTCTTGAGCCATCAATGCAATGATGTGATTCCCAGCACCAGTGCCCCTTGGTTTTTAGGGCTTGGTGCTGGGAACTGGAGGATGGAGGAGGTAGGGGTGAGGAGAGGGCAATGAAGTGGCCTCCATCCAGCCTTAAAAAGTCCCCTTGACTCCTCTTGCTGCCATGTCCTCACAGCACAGCCTGCGGGACAGCAGGAACAGCCAGACTATGCTGTGTCAGCAGCAAACTGATTGGGATTGTTACCTGCTTGCCCTTACTTGTCAGGGCTCCTGCCTCATTCAAACTTTAATTAATTATCATTATTTACTTCTTACCTAATGTGCTAAGAGCACAGGGTAGGGCTGTGTCTGGGACCTGCTCCTGTGACGCATGGTGCTGGGGTTCAGCTGGGGCAGCAGGAGGAGGGAGGTGGGTCAAAAGACTCATGGTTCTCCTCAGAGAGAGACATCTATAGCTCCTCCAGCCCTATCTGGAAAACCAGTGGCTGGGACTTCTTCATGCTTTACATGAGTCCTAGGACTTCATGTGCCTCAGCTCCATCCATGATCCCTGAGAGCAACAAAATTGGCTCCTGCCTTTCTCATCATGTCTGTTGGGAGTCTCTCATGCCCTCTGCTTTCTCTCCCCTGAGAGCCAGCCCACTCTTGATCTGAGTCTACCCTAAAAGGTCGCAGCCATTGAGGTCTCCATTTTCATCTCCTTCCTTAGTAGCGTTGCCTCTCTGCTGTCCTTGACGTTATCGAATGACCTTCCGATCCTGGGGTTTCTTTTGCTTTTCTTGCCATCCCAGGCATGCAATGAATTCACCACCCATGTGATGAACCTGCTGCGTGAGCAGAGCCGGACCCGACCTATCTCACCAAAGGAGATAGAGCGAATGGTGAGCATCATCCACCGCAAGTTCAGCTCCATCCAGATGCAGTTGAAGCAAAGCACGTGTGAAGCTGTCATGATCTTGCGCTCCCGATTTCTGGATGCACGGTGAGTTCACCCCACCAAACCTTTCGCCCTACCCACTGTGCAGTATTGTCGCGGCCTAGGAGAGGTGTTTCGAGGTTCTGGAGTGAATTCAGGTTCATATGAAGGACCATGTCTCTTGGTCTTGAGACACAGAGGCCATTTACTTTCTTTATCCTTTAGTTGTCTATGGCTCAGCAGGGGAGAGGATAGCAATTCCAGACATCCAGCCTCTGTTTCGGGGAGGCTTCCAGCTGTACCTTGAAAATTGCGCATACAGGCTTTGCTGTAGCAGAATGGAATTCTGTGGCATATTGCAACAAACCTCTGTGATGAAAATGTGCATATCAGTTAGGGATGAAAGCTAATCCTCCAGCCCATCCTATCCTCTCTAGGTTCCTATTCTTTTCCTTCTGTTTCCATTTTCCCAGATTTTTTATTCGTTGTAAAATTATTTCACTGCCCAAGCTGGTTGTATGCAGGCTGTGGCTTGGGCTGCAGTTTGGGATGGGGAGGAGAGGCAGTTACACTGGAGGGATGAACAGTCAAGTAATGCCCAAGTGCAAATGGAACAGTCCTCACCAGGGGTATATCCCCAGCACTGCTTTCTCAGTATGGAGCTTTGCAGAGTAGCAGTGATGTCTTTGGCCAGGGCAGCCAGGTGTTGAGAGTCACCTTCCCAGGTGGAGGAGATGGGTGCCAGTTTTGAGACTTCTGTGATGCAGTAGTAATTTGAGACATATTTTCTGTGGAAGGTGCTGAGAGAGGAGTCGCCAGCAAAGTGCAGATGAGAAGCTTCCTGGCTATGAGTCTGTTGCACTCCGTGCTCCTAGGAGCAGGGGAAGGAGGAAGGGAAGCAAGGAAAGTCAAGAGTGTCTAAAATTGCATTCCTCTTTCTGGATCCCTGACACTGATTTGCATTTCTTTTCCTTCTATTTCCCCCTCTTTCTTAGGCGGAAGAGACGAAACTTCAACAAGCAAGCTACGGAAATCCTGAATGAGTATTTCTATTCCCATCTCAGCAACCCTTACCCCAGTGAGGAAGCCAAAGAAGAGCTAGCCAAGAAATGCGGCATCACAGTCTCACAGGTGAGAAAGCTCAGAAATACAGCAAAGATGGCTACTGCTATTGGGAAGGCTTAGCATGGTGAAGGACACTCCAGACCTCAGTCAAGTCGGTCATGTCCCAGTGTTGAGCATTTCATTTCTAAGTTAGTTTAGCACAAGTTTGTGTAAGTGGATGGGGAAGGAGACAGCAGGCTTGCAGTTTGAAGCCATTGATGACAAAGGAGAGTTTGGGAGAAGATTCAGAAGGGATAAAGACTTCATAGGGTGATGGCTGTGTGTGCAGCCAAGGTGTTAACAACACAGAAATGATGTGGCGTGACCCACAGAGGCAAAGACTTTTCGTGAGGGAACTAGTGATGAACTGGCTTGCAAGAAGAGCTTGTTTGAGCTGACAGTCCATTCTTTGAGCCAAGTATTTGAAGGCAGTAAAAAGAGTTGTGTAGATTTTCCTCGATAAGGTAGAATGGACAGGGTCCTGATGGGAATGGTTTGGGTCAAACAGGCTAATGGTCATAGTTTGTGGTCAAGGAGGGTGGGCTTTCTCAGGATGATTTCTCTCTGTTGTTACGCTTGTGCTGCAGAACATGACATCTCCCTGACTTGCTTATCCTTCAAAGGAAGGTGAACAATAAAGACAAATTGAAGTATTTCCATACATTCAAGGCAGCCACATAATTCCTGGAGTCTCTAGCTTTGACCTGGGAGCTGCTGGAATTTGTGAGGAGTACAGTCGGTCCTTGAAGTGTTCAGCTGTACATTGGCCAGGCCTGCTTCTCTTTATTTCCTCTCTTTTTGGGGCAAGATTTCTGATAGAAAGCAAATCTATACAGCCTTTGATAATCTTGTCCTCATGTGAGCTTAGTGAACCCTCAGGGGTCCCATTGCTTTTCCCATCTTGGGCCGCTTTCCAGCCCCAGACCTATGTCTATTCATCGCTTGAGTAAACTGGAGACAGCAGTAGCATCTGGTGTCCTTGTGAGAGCATGTCTGCCTTCAGCAGGAGCAACAGCATCCAAGGGTAGGTGTTGTCACCATGTTGAATGCCTGCTGAGTGACTCCAATTGCATCCCCTGGGTCAGAAGACCCAAACATTGATTCTGCCCAGAGTTACCAATGAGGAACAGCAGATAGTGGCTTAAGTAAAACTACAGCTGTCCTGATGCTTCCCCTCTTACTTTTAATTCCTCTATTCACACTTACAACGTATACCTTGCAAAGGGAAGATGCCCAGGAGAAATGCTGCCCTTAAGATATTTTTTGACTGTGCTGTATCAAAGCTGCTTTGTGCCTGTCTTCAGAATCTCCCTTCCTTCTTCATCCAGAGAAGGCAGAAATAAACATACATCTGGGTCTCTGCTTTTGCTGAGGCTAAGTGGGAGCATGAGACAGTATGAATCTGTGCAAGTTATAAGCAGAGTTTATCTGAAATCAAAGGCTGACAGGGGTAGGCAGGTTCTTTGCTTCACAAGTTTCAAGGTGAAGATCAGTTGTAGTGGTCATCTATCCCAACTTCCTTCCCTGTGGTACTCATAGTTCAGCCACTGGCTCCAGCATTTGGAGCTGGAAGAGCTGTTGTAGAGATGGCAAGGTGGGAAGTTCACAAAGGAGCACATTGTCGGTAATGGGAAAGCTGGACCAAGAAATGGAATCGAGCTCCTTGCAGACAGCACCTTCTGGTGCCATAGAAATGTTCACTCCCACATCTGGGTTGGGTGCTGGTCTGAGTCTCTGACAGTTATGTTTTCTTCTTCCTGCTCTGCAGCAGCACAGGATTGAATACCTGCAGTTCAGTAGCAGGTAAACTGGTAGAAGAAGCCATTTCTGCGTAGAAGCTGCTGAATGCTCTACGATCACTGCAGGTAGAAAGCATCATAGGAATGAAAGGATATGGGTTTCAGTTACCAACACCCAAGCTAAAACAATTTTCCTAAGATGAGATAAAAATCACGAGTTTCCCAGGATGAACAGCCAGCGGTTTATTAGAGTGTTTTATTAGAGTTGCAGCATCCTCTGGCATTTGGTCATTCTCTTCATCTTGCTGAGCTTTTTCAAACAAGGTCAGGAGTGACCGGAAGTTGTCTTCTGCTTAGAGAGCTGCATGTAGGAAGACACACCCCTGGGTTCTCTGGTGTTGTCAAAAAAGAAGCTGAGATTTGCTTCCCCAGCTGTAGGTTGAATATTTCCCACATCTCTGAAACTGTTCAGTGTGACATGATGCCCACTGAGTTCATGGTGGTTTGGGAGGTACCCTGATATTTTCCCTGGGAAGCAGTTCTGGCCAGATACCACAGCCTGATTCCACAGATTTCAGAGTTACCCTGTCACTGTGCTAAATGAATCTCTGACATGCAAACTTTGGGGTATTTTATTCAGACACCTGGCAGGTTGACTAAACAACCTTTCTTTCCAACATTCATACTTCTGATCCCAGGATATCACTCTGACAGGCTGCAGGGATCACTGCTCAGACCTCACCTTGGGGCTTTCTGAGGTTCATGCTTTGTACTGCTGCAGGCATAGGGAAACAGCCTTCACCAGGACTGGCATGACCAGAGCTGCACAGCTTCATTCTGCCTTCAGGTCTCGCCCATAATTTTCAGCCATCTCCATGACTTGTGAAGAAGTTCATACAGCTTCTTAATTTTTTTTAAATAAATCCCCTAATTCCTTTCAGCAAAATTCTAGGCGCTGAAGTCCGGCCTATGCTGGTCTCTGGGCAAACACAATCTCTGCCCCTTTCCAAGGAACACACTTGTTCCCTGGGACCAAAGTGAGGTCTTAGAATGAGCCCTGTGCTCCCTCTCTAGCCTTCCCCTGGTGCTCCTGGTTTATGTAGTGGGTCGTGCTAAACCATACAAAGCCAAGTTCAGGTAGATGAAGAGCATCCACTTCTGGCCTTTTGCACCAATTTCAGTGAGTTGGATCAAAAGCAGAGCTTCAGTGATACCAAGGTATTTTTCTGTGTCAGCCAGGCCTGAGTAAATTCATTCAGTGTTCTCCCTGAAAGCCACACTGTCCAAAGGGAGGAGAAGGTGCAGCTGGGAAACAGGGCATCTGTCCCTGTCAAAGGGATACTGAGGAGGAAGCAAATAAAAAGTTCCAAAATGACATATACCTGTTTTCAGACTGTGCAATTTTAGAGTCATTTGACTTTCTCAGTTTTTTTTTAACTCATCTCATATTTTTGTGGGGTGGCTCTAGCTTTTCCTATAGAGCATCCCCTTAGTGGATGTACCATTCATAGAGGAACAAGTTATAGGCTCACAACCCAGTGCTCCCAAGAGGGTCTCGCCACCTTTCCTGAGCTCGGTGTAGCACACACATATAGAAGGTGTTTCCTTCCACAGCTAGGAGAGTGGGAGGGAAAAAAGAATATTCACTACTTAACCTGCACTAATGCACCTTCCTCACCAAGCCGCGCTTGCCAGAGCTGAAACATTAACGTCTTTGTCTTCTCTTAAACTCGCTCTAGGTATCAAACTGGTTTGGAAATAAGAGAATCCGGTACAAGAAGAACATAGGTAAATTTCAAGAGGAAGCCAATATTTATGCTGCCAAAACGGCTGTCACGGCTACCAATGTGTCAGCCCATGGAAGCCAGGCTAACTCACCCTCAACTCCCAATTCAGCTGGTTAGTTTTTGTTTTATTTTTTATTTTGGGTCATTAGTGTTCGGTTCTTTTGTTTGTTCTCCCCCTAATCTCTCTCTTGTTTTTCCCCTTCTGGTTATTTGAATTTTTATTTTCTGGTTTTGGTTGGCTCACTTTTGTGGTCTTTAAAAAAAGGCAGAGATGGGATTTGGTTTTTGGGGTTGTTTTGTGGGGTACTTTGTTTTCTTTGCCTTTTTCCCCCTCTTTTTTCTTTTATTTTTTTCTCTTTCCCTTTCCTGTTCCGTTTTCATTGGGAAAATGATGTGATAAGACCTTGTAACTGATGTCACCTTGGGGATTATATGCATGGATGGTAAACACAAAACCAGAAATATGGTCCATAGAATGTTGCTGGAATTGCTTGCACTTTGAGGGGAAAAAAAAATAATTAACAACTCGTTGCATAATGATTTTTATTTTGCTGGGGCTGAAGGCATGAGTGGCCCTAATGGCTAAACCCCAGCATTTTTAGGATATCCTAATTCAACGATCTTTGGGGAGATCTTTGGTTTTCTTTCTGTTGTGGTTACCTTTGATTGCTTACATGACAATGTCTGGATCATCTGCAAGAGTGTGCTCTGTTTGAATTTTATTTTCCTTCTGTGTCAGCACGATCCAGGGTAATCCATGGGTTGTTCCCTTCCCTTTCCCCCTTTCCTGCCCATTTGCTGTGGTTCACCTTTGTTTGTTTTGAGGGTCAAAGGCACAGAGCACTTTGCCCAGATTTCAACTCCTCTGCTAGAGAACGGTGCTTAGTTCATGCATGGTGCCTGCCACAAGGATGGCCGACCCAGAAGTGATCCTGGGCTGCGGCTGACTGGTTGTGCTCTGCTCCCAAGAGCGATGCCAAATTGGAATTTGTTGAAAAAGAGAGAAAAAAAACTGAACTTCATGCGTGCCATGTACTTTGTTATTGATGCAAATATCTATGTGCCTTTTTCCTTTTTAGGGGTGGGAGGGAGGGTGAGAATGTGCCACGCTTGGTGTCAGCTTGGTGTCAGCACATGGTACCCTTTCACATGGGTGTGGAGCTTGCTGTTATGAGGTAGGCTACTAAGAGGAAGGAAATGGTGGAAAAGCAAAGAGGATGGTGGGCAGCAGGAGAAGCTGTTTGTTAGATAGAGTACTAGTGGTACACTGTGCAAATGCTGGTTGCTATCAGGACATGCTTCTGTAGTGAGCACAGTCCTGCCTGTGGCAGGTAGCAGAGGAATCACACCTCAGAAGCATCCCCAGATCTGGAAGATTTGAGTGAAAAGTGGAGACCCAGGGGTCATACACTGGGAGAAACCAGTGGTATGGGTCTCTGGCTGATCTCCCAAACCAGTTCCTCAGTGGGAAGGCAAAAGCAGTCCATATCTGTGAGCTAATGTAGTAAATGGTGGTTCATTGCTGTGTGGTGGGGAGCTCATCCACACCTTGCAGGGACTCATGTGGATGGCTTGTACAGAAGCAAGTGGTAGAAAGCTTCTTCAGTTGGGCAGTGAAGTCCCTACACACAACCTCTTCATTTCCAGAGGACATGTTATGTGCTAAGGGTCTGCCCCCCAGAGCCACCTAAAGCAGAGCTGGTGCAGCTTTTGGTTGCAAGTCAGAAACACTGCTGGGGAGGGCATCTCCTCACACAGGGCTGCCTGCTGCAGCTCGACTGAGGTGCTCAGAAGGCTCTGGTGGATGCAGCAGAGTTCTCTAGGGACAGATGGTTTGCAGGAGTTTTGTTTAATTCTTTTCTTTTGTTTGGGTTTTTTCCCCCTTTTCCTTCTATTGTTTGAACTGCTGGTGATTTAGATGAAGTTTTTACAATGTCATCCATTCCAAACAGCTCACTTGAAATACCTGGTCAGGTGGGGTCTCCTGATATTGACACCCCGTTGTAGAAAAAGCTGGAGAGTAGAGAGCAGAATGGTGTGTGTTGAGGTGAGATGCCTACTGCCTGTGATGCTGTCCTGAAGTCCACATCAACTTAGACACAGCTTTCCTTCTTTTCCTCTTTCTTATACTGGGATCAGATCCAAAGGTCTGGAATGGCAAGGGAAAAGCTTCAAATTGTTTAAATGGCTTTGGGTCTGGCCTTCATGCAGTGGAAGAGGCATTTCCCCAGTGCCTGCCCAGTTAAATAGTGCTCTGGTGTGAGGTTGTTTCTTCGCCTTCCCCACAGGCAGTAAAACAGCTGTTTCAAAGATAAATTGGCCGGTACCCTGCAGTAAACAGCTAAGATAATCCCTGGATAACACTGTGCTTTCAACGAAGGACAAGCAGTCTTGTTATTAACGAGTAAGACTTGAGCTCCTGGGTCCTCTTTCTGGCTCACTTGTCTGCACTCTAGAAACACTGACTTCAGGTGTCTTAATGCTGTGGTTCTAAAGCAGCACATCAGTGTGAGGGGAGCTTGCAGGCCATGTTGATCCTTCTTCTGCTAGAAGTGTTTGTAACCTGGCCCAGATCCCACCATCTTCCCTGTATCCAGCAGCAGCGAGGCCTTGCTGTCATCACTGCAGTAGTCTCCAGGGCAGCTTACAGAGATAGTGCATTTGGATACTGGAAGAGCCTCAGGATTTTATGTCCAACAGTAGCATACCAGGTTGATATCTCCCCAGCTGCACCATGCAGATGTAACAGCTCAGTCAAGCTGTGGGTTAAAGGCACATCCTGAGGACATCTAGAGTTGAGTGATCTCCCCTGCTGCAGGTTGTCCTGTAGGTGCTAGCAGCAAGAATCACACCTGTATATGGTAGGTCTGAAATACCTGTCTGTGAAAAATTTGGAGGATGCTGTCGAGGGCCGTGAGCCATCCAGTTGTGCTGAATTGCTCTGGGAGGAATGTGGAAGTGGCTGAAGAGGTGAAGGACTAAGATAGATGATGCTTCTCCTTTTTCAGATCATCAGCTATAAGGTTTTTGAGGGAGGAACCTGAGAAAACGGGATTTTATGAGAATTTGTAGACCTTCTGGTTTAAATACATTGTAGGGCATGTGGAAAGAAAGAGCGTAGGCAGAGGACAGGACATGAGAAAGAAGCGACCAGCAGTGTAGTCCCTGGAGGGCCATGATGCTGGAAGACGAGGTGGAACCGGATGTGATAGGACCTGGGACAGGAGTTAAATTCATTTCTGCCATGGCTGTGCAGGCCCATCTGCTCTCTGCATTGATGCCTATGTTACCGGAGATCGGTGAATGGCTACAGTCAGTCAAAGAGATTGGCCACACATTGACAAGGGCAAGAATTGCATCTGTCTAGCCATCTGGCACGTTCAAAGCAGGGTCCCCCATCCTCAGTCACCCAGGCCTGAATGTCAAACACCTTTTCATCCTGAATACGCGCAGTTGGGCTTTATCAGCCAGATGTTCAAATAAGCTGAGATGTCTGGCTCATTTGGGCTAACAACTCCCCATCCTCACTTTGATTGCCTGGACAATCTCAGCACAAAAACCACATGGCAAATTAAAGTTATTTTATGTGGGCAGACCCTTTTGCCAACCAGAGTCCTCAAGGGCCACGTGCAGGTGATGACATCCAGTGAAATCTTCCATGCAGAGCAACCAAAATTGTCCTGAAATGTTTTTTTTCCTGCTTGCCCTTTTATTTTGTGAAAATCTTGCACAAAACTGCTGATGGAGGAGATTGTGCTGTCTGGAAGTATATGTATGTCATCAGGCCCAGGCCTGGTGGCTGTGTCTTCTCTGCCTTCCTCCATCTGTGGCAGTCAGTTGTCCAGAACACAGCATGGGAGAGGACCCTGCATCAGTAGAGAAGCTGTTCTACTTACAGTCTCACTATCACTGTTGGTTAGTAAGTGCAAAAGAACAAATGCCCTGCTGAGTTCATCCCTGGCTTTTAGACCTCCTATCAAACTCAGTGGCTTTGTCCAGCTGAGGAGCTACATGGTCCATCAAGTTCCTCCCTCATCTTTGGCCATGGTACAAACACAAGGAAAACATTACAGGGGGGGTATTCTCAATGCTTATATGCTATTGCCATTGTCTTCAACTAGGAGCCTTCTATACATGACCACAGTCTGCTTAAATGGTTCAGTGTGCTGGATCTCTGTCTTATTGGTGGTAGGTGGTATGAGGCATCAGATGAGGATGGTTTGATTTCAGCTTCAATGAACACTTACTGTTTATCCACGGTGCCGTTTGACTTGTCAGGTATGTTAGAGAAAAGGACTTACTAGAGTTCCTGGAAAATCTGAGGTGAAAGTAGAGACTGCCAAAATGCTACAGAAGACATCAGAGAAGAATAAACTCTCTGAAGAGTTGGAGAAGTGGTGCAAGAAATGCCAGCAGACAAGCTTGTGAAGATTTTTAAATTGGAGGCAAAATTGAAGTGGGTTTTGCTCATCAGAAATGTTAGGGATGGAAGAAACCTCTTCGTGGGCATTATTTTGATGTAGGATTTCATCCAGTAACAAGATCTGACTGCCACAGTTTGTCTAAATATTCCAGCACTCTTAATGAAGCTGGTGATGACCTGATAGAAATTCATCACTAAGGAATAGTGGTGGTAGGTCTTCAGTTTAGTAAGATAATCTGGATGCTGAAAATGATCCACTGTTCCTCACTGCTACAAGTCGTAAAAAGTGCTGGGGTTTCTGGTATTTTGGGGGAAGGCTTGGTCTGCACACAGTAACATCAGGGGACTTCCATGCCAAGATCAGAGCCCTTTCCTTCTGGCTTCACAAGCTCAAAGATGGTTGTTACTTCTTAGTTGTTGAAAGAGTCCCCAGTCAAATTATGACCACCGAAGAACTTTACTGTGTTCACATTGGAGCCTTGCAGAGGGACAGATTACATTTATGGTGAAGCCTTCTCTAACTGAAGGATTTGACTTGTATTTCCAGATGTATTCTTTGTGGAATATACCAATCTTAATTTTCAGGGCTCTTCGTATTCCTGCCCCCTCTCCCGCCCCAGTGCATCAGCCCCTTTTAGCTGTGTCTCTCAGACTTTGGGCCATCATAATTGTTATACATGGCTAGTACATAGACAGCAGAGTGCTGAAGCAGCAGAGTGGCAGCGTGAAGGGCTCTCTGCAATTACGGCTCTGATACAAATGCATCCATACATGAGGGGCCATCGGTATGCGCATATTTATCTTTGCATCCACATCAGCAACAAGACATATTCACTGTTTAGATATGCACATATATTGTAAAAATACCCTGTGCCAATAGCAGTGTATATCTTGTAAGTGACATCTCCAGCACTCCTCATGATTTCCAAGACACCAGCACTCTTCAGAGCTAGAGTTTGTGGCTGTTTATTTTTATTTCGTCCCTCCCAGTCTCAATTTCACAGGCAGGTTTGTTAAGTTTCAATAAAATACCAGTTAACTTTATGGCATTTTTATTTGTTATTATTGTTACAATTTTCTTTTGATAGGGGAAGGCGGGATAAGATGTTGCCCTGCTGGGAGCAGAGTGATAGCAGTGCCCTGTCAGGTGCTTAGGGATTCCCAAGTTCTCTTCCCAGCTCTGTCACTGATCATTTGTGTGATCTCAAAGGTTTCTGTTCACCTTAAAAGAGCAGGAGAATATTCTCTGCTTCTTGCAAGCAGTAGCTGCAAAGTCCTTTGGTTCTCAGCTACTGTGGGAGTATGAAGCCATAGTTAATTCATGACCTCTGCTTTTATATCAGTGGTCAAAGTGATCGTTCAGAAAACTGAGTAGGAAGCATCCAAAGATGTATGTGAAAAGTGTCCATTTTTGTGCTTAAAGTTGAGCAGTGTCAGGGTGGGCTATCCTCAGTCTGCCAGCTCATTTCCCTAGGTTTTTTGCTTTTAAAATAGCAAGTAACCTGAGAGGTTGGGAAATGACAGGAGGCCTTTGCCAGCTGAGCAGAGGAGGCGATAGTTACAGCTGCCTTCTGACTAGTCCCGGTTATTTTATGCAGCAGCACTGTGGGATTGATCTCTGGAACAGGTTGGGCAGAGTTGACAGTGAGCACAGACAATAAGCTATTTGGCTCTGCTCTTTTCAGGCACCAGTGGGAGGGTCCGGATCCAAGATTAACTGTGCTCAAGATGAGTCTTTCTCTTGACTGTCTTGGACATTGTATCTAGCAGTGATGTTTCTGCTTTCCTTCAACGCTGAGAATTACCAGCACCTGACAAAAGAGCCAGTTGCAAAGAGAGCAGCAGAGAGTTTAGTGAACATGAAGTCTCCAGCATAGACCTCCCACCTCCTCCCTGCCCTTTTTAGAGGTGACTTCCTTCAGAGGAGCCTTCCTGGTCCACCTCCGGGACAGAGCTAGGGTCTGTCCAGAGTGTTTCTTCCCTGTCCTGCAGAGGGAGGGGGATTGCCAGGTGTTTCTCAGAGTGCACACATGAGCCATAGTTGGGCAATTCCACCAGGACTATGGTTGCCAGTCTTCCAGGTTGGAAGTGGCAGTGGAGATGATGAGAGTGTATTTGGGGTTGGAGCTGAAAACATAGCTGACCTGGGCCCCTGAAGTCTCTCCTTTCCAAGGCTAACGTCATGTATATAACCAAACCTTGCACGTTGAGCTGTCTCACACTTAATGCGCTGATCTGCACGATAAAATCTGAAATAATCCCATAAAACCTTTTTATTTATTTTTAATCCCCTTCCCTGCCTTCCAGTTATGTCATGGGTTTGTTTCTCCCATTCGGTAGCTGAGAAGGTGCTCAGATATCTCAAAGCTGGAAGCAGAAAACCTTGTTTCTGCAAAGATGGGTGGGGTTTTTCTTTTTGTGGATTTTTTTCCTCCTGATCCCACCCAGTTGTCTTCCCTTTGACAATTTTTTAGTGTAACATTGACAACTGGTGCATGCAGTGGGGAATTTCCTTAAAGAGCTCGTTCTTATGGGGCAGCTGGCCCAGAAGGGAAGTGACACCCTTGCATTCTCTCATGGCCCGTCATGATGAAAGACACTTGCCAGCATGGTGGGTACTGGGAGTCTAGCCCAGGTGTCTTCACATTTTTGTGAGCCTTAGCTCCTGGTTCGCACCAGTGATGGGTTCCTTATGTCCTGAAGGCAAATCTATGCACCACTCCCTTGCAGAGCTCCCCGTGGCTCAGTGGGAGCACCAGCTGTGGAACTGGATGTGCTCACCCTGCAGAGAGCAGTGCAGTGTAGACTTAACCCACCCTGACCTGAGCTCAGAAGCAGCAGTAGTGTGGGTCTGCTTCACCTGGCTGAGCAGTTTCCTGCTCTTGATAGTGAGGCTTGTTTGGGTAACTCTCCAGCAACCAGGATTTTTCAAAGCTGCCTGGAGGATTTTGGTGCCCTGAAATTAAGGGAAAAGCTGTCTGAGTCCTCCAGGCTGGGCTTTGTTTGTCTCAGTCAAAAGCATGAAGAATCCTTCCTCCAGCTGAGGAGCTGTTGAAGAATGTTCTTGGCATTGAGCTGTAACAACATGTGGCTTTGAATAACCTCAAGAGTGCATCCTGTTTTTTGCTTGCTCTGTTCTTCATACTACTAACCTGACTCTGTGTTTTGTTTTTGTGGTTGCTTTGCATGTTGTTCCTTCCTCTTGGCTGAGAGTCATGGGGTGGATCTTTTTCCTTTCTGTGATTCAGGTGCCTCACTCTTTCCTTTCCAGGTTCTTCCAGTTCTTTTAACATGTCAAACTCTGGAGATTTGTTCATGAGCGTGCAGTCTCTCAATGGGGATTCTTACCAAGGGGCCCAGGTTGGAGCCAACGTGCAGTCACAGGTAGGGACCCATCCGATGTACTGCCAGTGAATGCATTAGTGTTGGAGGAGCCTTTGACTGTATTGGCACTTCTCCCTTCGGTCCGAAAAGAACAAATCTCAACCAGCACAAATGAACCAACACTTAAAAAAGGCAAACCAAACTGAAAATCCAACCAACCAAAAAAAGCAACAGCAACAACCACGCAAAAAAAATAATCCAAAAGAAACAAAAACTAAAACCAAACACCCAACCAAACCAACAACCATGGTCTTGAGGAGACTTGCCCACACTTTGTGAATGCATTTGGCTCTGGCTTGATAGTTGTACTAGAAGGAAAGGAGGTTTAGGAGAACAGGCACGAACTCAAATGAAAGCACCTGAGGTTTAGGTTGTACTTGCTTTATTCTTCCAAGGGAAGGGCCCAGATGTTTGGACTGGTGTCTCATTTTACAAGGAAGGCTTCCACTTACTCCTTTGGTGCCAAACCAGGTGTCTGCTGAAAGGCAAGAAACGTTCAAATACACAGCTAGGTGTTGTTTTTTTTTGTTTGTTATTTGTTTTGTTTTTTTTTTTTTAATTAAAAGGCACCCTTCAACGTTTCATCACCTCCCCAAAGCACAGGCACTCAATGCCACCCATGTACACACCAGCAAGACAGAGCATGGGAGCTTTGAGCAGCATTACTGAAACATAACCCATGCTTTGGGCAAAAAAGAAAGAATTTAAAATAGCCATGAACTCACTCAGATTTCCCACCTCCCATCCAATATCCAGATGTGCCATGAGTCTGTTCTCTGGCATTTAACGCTCTGTAGTGTGTTGAGAGACAACAGCCACTGACACTTCTGCATTGGGCAAGGAGAGCTCTCTAAAGCCAGGATTGCCCCACTGACAGTGCTGGATGCAGAGCAAGCATGCCATCCATGGGCAACGAGACACACTCACCATGCATACTGCTGCTGGGGCTGGGCTGGGTGAGAGGAGGGAGAGTAATGGGGTGCCCAGAGGAGAGCTGCCAGTGCATTTGCCATGGTAGGTATCTTGCCTTTCTGGGCCCTCCAAAATGAAGGCAGTCAGCTGACTCCAAGGATCTCCTTCCGCTGCTGTAAGCTTCCCAGTGCCTGGGACCAATGGGTGGAAGGGGTAGGAATGTGCATCCTTGAGCACAGTGGTGCAACTGGCTGCATCAGTGTGCTCCAGGAGGTCCCACCCCACACTTGCAATGCTGTTCTCCCTCTCTGCTCTTCCTATTGAAAGACTTGGGACTGAGGGGTGCATGATGGGGCCACCAGGGTAGACAGGGGGTTGTGGTGAGGGAGGCAGGAGCAGCCGTCTGGCTCGGCTGTCGCTGCAAGAGCAACTACAGTTCTCTTTGCCCTCTTTAAATATATACCATTGTTATTATTGTTATTATTAGTATTAATATTATTATTACTACTACAACTCTTTGTTTTTATCTTGCCAAAGATGAACCAAAGCATCTTTGCCCACTAACCTTTCATTCACTCTAATTTGTGTCTTTGTTGTCGTTGGTCTGTTTAGGTGGATACCCTTCGCCATGTTATCAGCCAGACAGGAGGATACAGTGATGGACTCGCAGCAAGTCAGATGTATAGTCCGCAGGGCATCAGTGTAAGAAAAAAAAAAATAGGCTTGAGTTCTTGTTTTTTGGGTGGTTTTTGTTGGGTTTTTTTCATTTTTGTTCTCTCACTGCCAATTATTTCAAAGCCATAGGGCTTAGAATGCCACTTAGTAGGACTTGTCTTTGCTTTTACGGTCACCTAGTTTATTGCTTCTGTATCTGTCACGCCAACGGCAGAGCTTTGCCCACAAAAAAAGTGGCGACCGGGCAGGCTTTGTGCAGGCAGCTGGCGTCTAGGACTGTCAGAGCTGATCAGCGTTTGCCTGGCACCTGCGGCCACACGCGCTCGGCCGAGAGGAGCTGCTAAACAGGTGACACCTCATGTAGCTGTGGTGAGGGATGCTGATGCCCCAGTCCAGAGATGGCTTCACGCGGAGACCAATGGCACCATCCCAGAGCTACTGTCTAAAAATAAGCCTTCCCTGGCCAGCATCCGAAAGTACAGCGACAATGGGGTTGGTGGCAATAACGAATGCAAATAAAAGGAGAAAAAAAAAACCACAACAAAACAACAAAGCCAACCAATGTCAACCCAAGAAAACCTCACCCAACTGGGCTGTGGGAGGATGTGAGGGGGAGGGCGGTCTCCAGAGCATCTTCTCCTTGTTCTTGGGTGCGCTGGCGGGTTCTGACTAGCATGAAAATTCGTAGCGACAAGCTGTGTCGCACAGGGGGAAATCGATCAGACACACACAAGGAGAACCCAGTGTAGATTCGGGACAGCAATCCAACTTCATTTCTCAGATCAATCGTCTGCCATCTCAGCAGCAGTGACAGCAAGCTGGGAGAAGAGGGCAGCCTGGAAAAGGAGGCTGTGAGCGCCAAGTGGGTGGTGGCAGTGGTGTCCAGGGATGGCACGGAGGAGGGGGTGGCTGACTGCTGCAGGCCCCATTGAGGAGCCTAAACGTTGAGGTGGCGTGATCTCAAACTGGGCAGGAAGGCAGTGATCCCCCAGGTGGGACAGTGGTCCTGTGGGTGAGCACCTCAGCAGGGTGCACCATCCAGTCCCATCACCATCCTGGCCAAGGCTTATGCCATACATCACCTTGCATGTGACCATCTTTGGGCCATTGGCATGCAAGCAGCCACTTCTGGCACAGGGAGAGGTATAGGGAGAGGGGTGCAGTGGGATGGGGGAGTGCGCTCCCCTGTCCTGCGGGTGTTGGGGCTTAGAGGGTGGCTTGACGTCAGGAGGCAGAGGCAGGAGGATTTGTGAAGTAATGTAATTGAACATGTGCAGATAATTATGTCTCATTACATAAGCCCATTGCAAAAACGGTGCTTGGAAATGCCACATGAAAGAGCCTATCGTTCTGCATTAATTTCTCCATGCGCTGAATTTATTCCCTTTCTGGCTTTTTAATACTTAGAGAGTAAATGAATCACAGGCTGATCATGATAAGAGATGATACTTTTGTATAAATTAAAATACCCCCAAGGAAAGAGGCTGAGCAGATTATAGCTGGAGTTGGCTTCGAAAATAACAGTGGGCTGGGTAAGCCAAAATTTGGGGAGGGGGGGATTGTTGCTGGGGATTGCAAGGCAGGGAGGGGGCAATAGAGAAAAGGACAAGAGGTAGTAAAAACTCAGAAGCTGTATAGGACAAGGAGAGCTGGGCTGGAGTTTCTGGCTGTGGTAATGGGAGAACCAGTGTTACCAGCACTGGGAATTGGTGAGCTGAGGGTGTCAGGGGCTCAGTGGTTCCCCCTGCACTTCCCAAATGGGGATCCAGCATGGTGGCATCTGATGGCTCCTCAGGCTGGTTTTTGGGGGGGGACAGGAGCCCAAATAGGCCCAAATTGTATGTTGTTCAAAGAGAAGCAGGGTAGTAAGTGGGCAAAGAGACAGCTCAGGTTCAGGGGTGATGCCTCATTTTCCCATGAATGTGTAGTAGGCATGGGGAGGAAGGCAGGGAGTCCAGATCTGAGTGCAGTTTAGGAAGTATTTTCTGGGTTGTCTCTCTATCCCCGAATGTTTTGCTTCCCCGTTATCCTGACCAGCATGCTCCTGCCTGTGCCTTTTATTGTCATTTAATGGTTTCCTATCCAGCTAGGTCCCTTGATGGACCCCAGATTATCTACTCCTGAAGTGTGGCCATCCTCTAGGAATTGTTGACCCTTGGCAGTGTCCTGGGGAGCTGCTTAGTGCAGGCAGGGTGGTTGTCTTGTACCGTGCAGGGCTTCCCTGCCTCTCCCCTGAACCCGTTACTGCCAAGGAAGGGCAGCAGGATGTGGAGGAAACCTGCTAGTGACACAGAAAGCTGCCATCCCCACGTCATCCGAGCATCCCCGTGAGCTGCTGGAAGGAGATGAGCCGAAACATAGTCAAGAGCCCTGTCACAACGATGTCTGTATGGGGCTGAGGTTAAGTCATCCCCAGAGCCCGTCAGGGCTGAGAAGTCAGCGGCAGGTTGCCCAGCTCCACCACTGCAAACCTTGGCAGGGGAGACAATGCTCGGGGTTTGCCTTCCTTGATGGAGGATGAAATTTTAAATGCTTGTAAGTCATGACAGCTGAGAGCAGGAATGTACTCAAAGCCCAGTTCCCTCCGTGGCTCTGCTGCTTGACGGCTGACAGACCGCTCTGCAGGGCAAAAAGGGCTGGAGTCAGTTCTGCATCCTTAGCAGGATAATGGGTGATGTCCCAGCCTTCACGATCCCCGTGACCCACAGTGATGACTGAGGCAGAGCAAGAACAGACGCCTTCTACTCCATAGGTGGAGACAGTGTAAGGTATCACCAATACTAGCAAGGAACAGGGATGCACTTGGTGATGCATGACTGATAGAGGCTGAAGACATCTTTAGGATACCCAGCCTTGGGTAGCGCTGAGAAGAAGGAGGGACCCTTACACCTGAAAGGAAGGGGAGACTGGGGCCTGATCCAGCCCTTTTTGCAGGCTTTGAGGTTGAGGGATTTTGCAGCATAAAGTGAGAGGTGTTAAGTGTCTGGTCCCTCTGCACAGAGGGGTGTCCTGCATTTGTACCCAGCTGGAGGTCCCAAGATAAAGGTTTCAAAGCATTTAGAAGTCCAGATTCTTGTGGGTTCCAGTGAAAGCTGGATCTTTAGTACCATAGTTCTCCGGAGGGTCCCAACCCAAAACATTACCCTTTTTGCCACTGCCCTGTGGCCCTAAATCCACCAAGTGTCTTAGTTCCCCTGTCTCCCAATGAATGAAATGAGCTATAGTAATCTTAAAGAAAAACTATTTCAGAAATTTCTTTTTGGAATTTATTTAATTTAATTTATAGATCATTTAAATCTAAATGAGAGGCAATTTTTAAAGGTCATCAGAGTACAAGGTTTTTGATTTAAAATGCTGTTGTGCACATCTGTGCCGATTTACAGAGCAGTGTCTGTGACCATGATGGCGATGGTCAGCAGCAGAGTGTGCTGTTGAGTTTTGCATCCACTGTTGTTGATGAGGATCTCTGGGCACTGGTACCTGTAGGAAGTGAGACCTTCTCACATGTGCTGAGACCTTTTCTATTAAGAATTTGAGCCTTGAAATGAAAGTTGTTTCTGTTCTCCTCAGCAAGCTACAGTTCACCATCATGATCAAGCTATGGTTCATGACCATGTTCACAACCTGGGACATGTAAGTTTTGTCTGGCAGGGAGGGCTTCAGTGCCCAAGCTCCATCCATCAGGGATGCCTTGGTGTGTTCTGAAGACTGCTGCTGTGAGCTTCGGAAAGTGATAGCCAGACAAAGCTGGAGTCTTTGGTGTTTAATAAGAGTTTCAGCGTGTATCATAAGGAGACTGATACAAGCTCTTAAAAGTGCAGAGGTCTGAAACCTCTTTGAGGCTTCTGCATGACTGTCAGACTTGTTTACGTCTGCTGTGTTTGGAAGCTGACCTGACACCCTGTGTTGTCGATGGTGGGACAAGGATTTGGTCACAGAACGTGGGATGGCAAGACATCCTCTGTGCACAGCAGGAGGTGCCTTTAAAAACTGGCAGAGTCATCTCCCAGGCCCATGCTGGAGGCCCAGGCAGAGAGCCATCCAGCCTTGCTGGAGGTGACCAAACTTTTGGGAGACCTTGTGGAAATGGCAGCAAAAGCAGTTGCTTCATCCATCCATCACGGAGGCTCTGTCACTTGGGCAGCCACCAAGGCCTTGCCTGTGCTTTGGCACCATAAGGTGACATATGAAGAGATGTCCCAGAGACCATTGCTCTGTTCCTGTCTCCTGAAGAAGTCACAGCTGCATGCAGGGGCTGCTCAGAAAAGTCTGTGAGGAGGAGCACCCTTCTCAGAAGACTCCCTCATTTTTGAAGGAGATCCCTAGCAATTTACTTCAGTCAGATCCCAGTGGGATCTTCTTGCTTCAGAAGGAGGCGGGGCCCAGCTGTGGATGCATCCTGAATGTGTCTTGGTCCATGCAGCAACAGTGTGAACTCCAGGAAAGAAAAGATGAGTGTAAATGGCGCCTATATGCCCTCTGTTTTGGGAAGAGTCTTGCCTCCTCATGGAGGGCTTGTCCATACCAGAAGATAGCATTAAGACGATAAGGTCATGGCCAACCTTGCGGCCTTCCTGGCTGGAGGAGGAGGAGTGTGGGATATGTGGAAGGTTTCCTGATCTGGGTCAGCCTTTCCCCAGCATCCTCTTGGTTTCTTACCCAATGCAACCAAGATGGTAATTGACGACATGAACTCCCACAACACGTGAAGGCTGATTCCCAATCTGGAGAGCCATGGGGCTCCCCAGCACTGCGGGAGGCAGGGTGCTAAGCATCGAGGCACTGCAGTCCCTGCCTGCAAGACACTCTCCCTCTCATTCCTTCCAGCTGTGGCTCACATGCCAAAGCCTCACTAAAAATAGTTAAGCACAAAAGGGACAGAGCCCTGCTCCATGCGGCCCCCTCTACTCTCCCCCCTCCTGCTCGTCGTAATGACCCTGCAAACACTAAATGGCATCTGAGTGCATTAAGCAGCAAACTCTCCGGTGACATAGCAATTACAGCTCTGAAATAGATTTGGTGCGTCATGGAAGATAAGGGTTTTGAAAGTTTCTGTTGTGATTATAGCTTGTAACTCCAACAAATAACAGGCTTGGTAATAAGAGGCTGCCAGCGTAGCTATTGTGGTTCTCTCTCACTGATGGCACGTAAATTGCTATTAATGTCCTAAGTGTACTTGAATATGCCAGTCTCGGGGCGGTGGAGTTGGCTCTGTGTCTCTCTTTACGTGGCCTGTCATTGTCGGGCTGATAATCTACAGTAATTGCTGCCTCTTGCAGCGGTCCAAGATGTATAAGGGTGGATATTGCATCTCACGAGTGCAGGGATGATGGGTCAGGGCCTGGGTACAGATGGAAGCTGATGGGTTCTGTGGGCACAGTGAGCCCATGGTCTGCGCAGGCAGGGAGTGCCTGGGGCTGGTAATGTTTGTGCATAGTCTGGTTTCATGCTTGTGCCCACAGTGCAGTGGGATTTGCTAACCTGCTGGCAGGCTTAGGCCACGATATCCTGTCTTCCTTGCTGTTGCTGGAACCCCATGCATGGAAGAACACGCAAGCCCATAGTGTGTGTGCACACCTCTGTCTTTTTTGCTTTGTGCATGCCCTGCTGTGTGGTATTTTCATTCCTCAAAACATGGGTTCCCATGGCCCACCTGTGGCTAGCTCTTTCCTCCCATTTCAGCTGCCTTTCAGGCAGGCAGGAGCTGGTCAGCAGCGTGGAAAACCCACCAGCAAGTCCCAGACAGTTGCTCTGTGCCTTAGGGCCATGAAGCTTTTCCTACCCTTACCCCACTTCAGGGTCTGTGGGACCCCAAGTAGTGTGGCTGGTGATGGATGCCCTGTGCCAGGAGGCAGTGGGACAGGCAGCTAGAGAGAACAAAGCAGCCACAGCACATTTGAACTGCAACAGCAACTGCTACTGACTTGAGCTTGGGCAATGGTTGGAAAGGATTCATTAACTGAGCACTGAATCAATGTCAGAGTGAGCAGAGGAGGTTGGGTGCGACATCTGCTCCTCTCCAAAGTGGATGGCAACCGTGGAGGAGCAGCTTCTGTGCACTGCCTGCAGCAGTGGAGCCCTCCAGTAGCTCTGCTCTTGAGAAATGGGAGAATTTTCTCTGCATCTTTTTTTAGGAGAAGAAACAAGTTGTCTGCCACACTTCGCTGTACAAACCCTGGGATGGGATATGGTGGTAGCACCTCTGTGGCACGGTGGCTTAGGATGCCTCAAGGAATAGTTACAGGGAGCATGGAGGGTCAGCCCTGGGTGGCAGAAATATGTTTCTGGTTTTCTTACAAGGCGAGGAGAGGAATGTTTTTGCATCAGAAGCAGAGATGTGGCCCAGATCCCAGAATACAGCTTTCACCGTGGCAAGAGAGGTATTTGGACAATGTGTCTTTCCTGCAGCAAGGCTTGGGAGCTGATGGCTTTGCTTGCACAAGGATCATGCAGCAGGAGGGGTGCCTAGAAGGGCAGCGAAGGGGAACATGGAGCTGTGCTGGAGAACAGCACAGCTCAGTGGTCTCTTGGGACCTGTTGTTCTTTGTGTTCATAGCACCTGGGTCCAGATAATACCTCAGGATGGTGTTTCTGGAGTGAGGTTTTTCCTATTTTCCTCCTTCCATATGGGAAAGTATCATATTTGGGGGTAAAAAGACCACCATACAACTAGAACTCAGAGTTTCTGCAGGAAGATGTGGTTTTTAGGGGGCAGAATTTTCATGAGCACTTGCAATTTATCAAAACCTCTGTTTTCAACAGAATTGTTTCTTCCCCATCCCACTTATGGAGCCGTGTGGTCCGCAGTGGGATGGGGAAGCCAGAGGGGACAGCTTTGCCTCCTACATCAGTGCCTGCTAGGGGAGAAGCAGGAGAGTCTGAGTTGGATAGGTGGCTTGGGCAGGGTTGGGTGTGCTATTGGGTGACTGACATCTCCATGTCTCCCTTCCCACAGGCTAATGGAGGTTGGCAAGACGCTACTACCCCATCGTCGGTGACCTCCCCCACAGAAGGCCCTGGCAGCGTTCACTCTGATACCTCCAACTGATCTCCCAGCAAATTGCATCCCTGGCTGAGCCGGTCCCGGCGGGGCAGGAGGGGAGGGGGCCTCTCCTAACACTGCAGCAGTCAGACTGGAGGTGAACCCAATCAGCACACACAAGAAGACTCCTTCTCTTCTCTTCTCTTCGTCGGGATGCTTTTTTCAGCCAATCTGGACACTTCTTTATACTCTCTTCCCTTTCTTTTCTGGGTAGAAGCCACTCCCTCCCTGCCACCGCCACAACACCACTCCCTTCCCCTCACCCCTTCCCACCGAAGGATATGTCAACAGGTAGAAGGATTTTAAGGAGGAAAAGCAAAAATCAACTGCCACCACACAAAACAACCCCAAAGCAGTGTACAGCCTCATGCTGGGCATCTTTCTGAGGAGCCACAAATGTACCTCTGTCATGTCTCACTCCTTTACTAGCAGGCAGCCTCCCTTACTCCTCCTGTCTCATGCTACCTCTCCGTAGGGAAACGCCACCACAGCCCTGCTGCCGCCTCATCTCTGCCGGCCCTGGCCACAGCCAGCACCTTGCCTCCCTGCGCCCAGCCCTGCTTCGGTGAGCTGTCCTCTGTGCACTGCTGGTGATGGGTGGGTGGACACAGCCTCTGTGCATGTAGAAGAAGTCAGCATACTTCCCTTTGCTTCCAAAAGGTACCAGCCCATCCCCAGCCCTGGGTAAACTGACAGCATTTCCTGGTCCCTGCCCTGCCCTGCCACAAATCTCACTGGCTGCTGTGGGCTGAATGAGCCATGAAACCCTCCATCCTCTCTGCCCGCTGCTGGAGGGGAGGAGAGGAGAGAAGGAAATGAGGCAGGTGAGAAATGGCTGGCACTGAGCACCTCCATGGTGGTGTACACTAATCAGTTTTCTCACAGCACCTAGGGAGGCTGGTGGTGAATGTATTCCTCACAATGAAAGTGTCACGGGTTGTTTGCGTGTGTTTCTGGGACTGTGCTGCACTGCAGAAGAGGAGGAGGTAGGTTCCCCAGTGCAGGCAAGAGACCCTCAGAGAATGGTGGCACCTGCTGCATTCCCAAAGCCCTGCCAGGCAAGCATCGAGGGTTGGGCGGCAGGATTCAAGGGGCTTGATGTGGTGGGGTGAGCACAGTGGGTGCTTTCAGTAATGGTTAAAGCAACAGCTCTGTAGGACAAGGGGTGCCCCTCTTGGGGATGTCTTTCTGATAAAGCTCCTGGTTTTATCCCAATTACTCTGGACAGTGGCATTTGATACCATAGGAAAACTCATGAGATTTTCTGACCAGATTTTCTGGTTTGCTCTTTGAACAGCTGGTGATGGCTGAAACACTCATTCAGGCAGCTGATGCTGGGAGAACATGGCTTTCATTGAAGAACAGTGAGGAGGCACCAGTCTGCCCCTGGCAACGGTCTGAGCTTTGTGCCATAGTGGTACTTTTGGCCACTGGTTCTTCCAGTGGGTGCGAGCAAGTTCAGCCGTCTTGTGGCAAGATCCTGGGTGTCATAGGGATCACTGTGGGTGCAGCATAAATAGCACCTTGTAATGGATCTGAATACCTCTTGACCACGTCTTATGCACTTGCACATCCATGCCCACCCTGCCAATGCTGGTGCCAGCCATCTCAAGATGGGAACTGCCAGTGCAGAGCAGCCTTAAGCAGGAACCACATAAAATTACAGCTCTGCCAAAAAAATTTCTACCCTTCTGGTGGAAAAAATGATGGTTGGCCTGCAGGCCACAGCTCTGACATGCTGTCGCCTTGCAGCTCAGAGCCAGCAGTGTGACTCGCTTGAAGTGGAGGTGAAGCCTGCCTTTCCATGAGGAACAAGCCCAGAAGGCTTCAAAACATCTGCTCTGAAATTTGTGACCTTTCCCCAAATATGAGAGGTGCCAGTTCATTAGCTTTTCTCCTTCCGAGCTGGTGGGTCAGAGTAGGATGCAAAAGGTAGATGAGAAACAGCACAAGCTGCCTTTTGCTTGGTTTTTTATATCTCCAGTTGAAACATTCTGTTCCTTTCAGATCTATGCCCGGGGTTGGGGGCTTTGTTGCAGAGCATGATACAACAGGTGAGGTCTGGGGCTGCTTCCCAGCTGGGCATATCTTAAGAGCAATGAGAAGCTGGTTTCTCCAAGAGGATGGTTCGGAGGTGTTGCCCATCTTCCCAAGCTGTGCACCTTCCTGCTCTCCTCCTCCCCAGTGCAGCCTTTTCACCATTTCCAGGTTATTTTATATGAAACTATTCTGGCAGAGAATTTCAGGGACACAGGACTGGGTCAGGTCTGTTCTCTGGAGTGGCAGCAGTGCTGTGCCTGTGGGAATGCCATGGTACCTCTTGGAAATCAACCGGGAACAATCCAGAACCACCCACTGACTGGAGCCGGCCTATGCCGGGGCTGCCTTCCCCTGCCCTGCAGTTGCTGCCCCTCCTGCCAGCACTCCCTGCCCACAGCACCCCTGTTGCGGGCAGGGTGCTCGCTCCTCCATGGTACTTTGCGGATCACCTCCCGGGTTCCCTAGTTGGTCCCTCCGGTTTGTGTTGGCGTAGCTGCTTGCTTGGCTTTTCCTTTGCTTTCTTTATTTTTGGGTTTTGTTTCTCCTCCCCTTTCACCCCTTCCCCCAGCCCCAAGTGTTGTGGGGTTTTTTTCTCCTTTTTTTTTTATTTTTTTTTTCTGCCCAGAAAAACCTGACTTCGATACCAAAAAAACAAAACAAAAAAACAAAAACAAACAAAAAAACTAACAAAAAACCTGCAGAAACAAAAAAAAAAGAAAAAAAAAAGCCACAAAAAAAAACTCGACAATTCTTTCAGCTTTATTAACATTTTCCATTGTTTCTTGCGATTTGTGTCTCGTTCTTTGTAGTATTGATGATAACGAACATTTGATAATGAATGTTCTTGTATATTCAGATAAAGGAGAAAAAAAAAACCAAAAACGCAGTCGGAATTTAATAGTGTTTATAATAAAAGAATAAAAAATGACCCTCTTAGCACGCAAAATTGAACAGGGGGAAGGTCCCATCCCTGTTCTTTCTGTGGCAACAAGCGCTTCATTCCTGTATAGTTTATAACATCGAACTACCTACATTCATCTTTTTTTTGTTTGTTTGTTTTTCCCATTATTTTTTCCCATTTTCTCGCATTTGTGAATTAGTTCAAGAATGCTAGAAAAGTGTAGAGTTGTGCACACTCATTTCTTCTTACACAATGTTTAAAAAGTGACAGTAATTCATTTTGTAAAACTTTAAAAAGAAAAAAAATGGTTGGAATAGTGAGCATTAATAGGTACAGTCTAACACTTTATGTTTCTTAACGTTGAGACCCAGAAATTACCTTTTATTTTTTTGGCATTATTTGAGGGGGGGGGGGGGCTTTGATGATGATGCTGAGTTTATTTTGACCTGCCTGAGACATCAGCCTTGCTGCTTCCCCTGCGCTTTTGAGCTGTGCCCCAAGTGATGTGAAAAGTGATGGTGGTGTTTGGGGGGGGAATTGTCTCTCCTCCAGGGGGCCCCCACTCCTTTTGATACACAACCCAGAAGATCCTTAGGTAGCTCCTTTGGGGCTGAGTTGGGGAGTTACATATCCAGAGAAGCATGTAGTCCCGTGGGGTTTTGGCGAATACATGCTGAGGGGTAACGGGGAGTCAGGTGCTGAGCTGCTTGGAAGTGATGAAAGGGCATGAATCCTCCCCCGAATGTGTAGACAGTGGGCTTCAATGCTTTTATGCTCTGCCCTGAATCCCAGTGGCACCCAAGGGTTTGCTGCAAGAGCCCTGGATTGGAGGCACCCATCAGCCCAGACACAGCTCTTGGCTGAAAAATTAATTTGGAGCAAGGAAGGTACCAACCTCATTTCAGTCATGGACCTTGTTGAGGATGGGGTCTCACAGCCTAGCCCCAAGCCCCAGCGGCACAGGGTTGCTGGGAAAGATAAGGGACAAGGGACGGGACGTGGCAGCCTCCCAGCCATAGTGGGACACAGCCAAACTGCCCCCCAAATATAGCCTGAAATCTCAGTGGCTGCAGAGTGGGGTTCAAGGAGAAGTGCTAAGGAAGATGTTGGTGGGCACCACTTTAGTTGTCTCTTAAAAACAGGTTCCCTGTGCCCCCTCCCCCCAAAAAACAGCTTTTTACATCACTGAACGGTTTAGGGTTTGAGGTATTATTTTTAATCCCAAGGTTTCCTGGAGTCCTTTTTTTTCATACACCTTTATTATTATTATTATTATTAAGACTATGTAAATCAGACGTTGCCTGGGGGTTGGTTCTGTCGGTTTGCTTTTTTTGTTCTTGCAAAGCCCTTTCTATCCCTTGTAAAGATGATCCAATTGTTCTGAGTTGCTTTTTCTTTTCTATTTTTTCCCCCATCTTTTTTTTTTCTCTTCCTAATGGATTCCAAATATTATTAAAAAAAAAAAAAAAGAAAAAGAAAAACCTTAAAAAAAAAAAAACACTTCTCTGTTCCGACCTGGTTTTGAAACTTTAAGCTTTTCTGCTTCTGTAAAGAAAAAAAAAGGCCTCTGTCTTTCTGATCCCAGTTGAGACTTTTATGTTCTATGACGATACTAACAAGGTGTAGGTTTTACAGTTTCCTGATTTGTACTGGTAATGCATATTCCAAATAAATAGTTTCTTTTGTTGAAAAAAAAAAAAAAAAAAAAAAGAAACCAAACCTGGCGTTTTTTTGGGGAGGAAAAAGAGGAATGCGAGGTTCCCCGGGGCTTTTCCCCATGGGGGTGCAGGGGGCAGGAAGGGTTTGGGATGCAGCGGGAGCAAAGGCAGTAGCCTGATGCTTGGTCCTGCTTCTGGTGGTGTGAACTTGGGAGCTGGAGAAATGCGATTCAGGGGTGATGCCTGATGTGCAGTATTCCTGCTGCTCCCGGCGCCTCCTCCCATGTCTCAGTTTCCCAGGCCGGGGGAAGCGTCTGTGCAAAACACATTTTCAGTCTTTCATTTCCATTGCTCATTCACTGCTTTTTTGGACTTCTTAGTGGACTTCTTTCCAAAAAAGCTGCAATGGGGATTTTCTATCACACCCAGGCATGGGGCAGGGCTGGGGAGCAGGGGAAGGGTTGGTGGTTTCTTCTGTTTCCCTGGGGGGTTTAGTTTAAAAAAAAAACAGAAAAGAACAACAAAAAACGTTTTGAAAACATTTCTGAGCAAAACCTCATTTTACATTTAAAAATAATTTGCAATTCAAAAGAGTCTGTGCATGGAACAAAAACCAGAACAGCTCTGCCGTGTTTCTGGTGGCATTAGGTGAAAAGCGGGTGGCTGTGATTCCCCAGCTCCAACCTGGAGAAGGGCAGGCAGAACCTGCCACAAATGCCTCCAACACCCCACAGGGAGCAAAGCGGAGGGAAAGAACGCCTGGGGAGGCAGCACAGGGATGCTGGAGCTTGCCTTGAGCTGCTGCCCTGCTCCCCTATGGATTTCTTGTCAATGATTATTCAATCTCCAGACTGACCTTTCTCTTCTAAATAACATGGCAATATCAACGCAGGCCAGCCTCCAGCCCCGGCTGCAAATTAACTGTATCACTCTCCAGCAGGAGACCCAAGGAGCCCCCCGGCCGCTGCGCTGCCAGACTGCCCCAGGAATTATCTCTCTCCACCAGTGCTCTCCTAATACCAGTTTAAATATCATCTTGCTCCCAGCTGTTTAATAAATGCTCATCCTGGCTCCAAACAGAAATGCTAAGAAGTCACACCGGGCCCAATGAGAACATTGCCCCAAAAAGGCAGATGGCAGGAGGTGCTGCTGGGAGGAGAGGATACGATGCTGTTTGGCCTGGCGGCTCCTGGCACACATCCTTTGGGTGCCAGGGTGGGTTTGAGCATGTTGCACTTCTTCCAGCTCGAGTCTTTCCCCTTCCCTGCAAAAGCCGATGATTTTAAGATGGGAAAAGGACACATGGAACATCCTAGAGAGTTCAGGGGCAGCTGGAGGGGCCTGGCTGTGTGTAGCATCCTTCCTACTTCCATCCCCCCCTTGCTGGTTGCTTGTGGCTGAAAGAGAAACTAAACCCACAGGAACCAAACTTGATTGTTTGTGTTTTTGTTGCTATCATCTTGTTAACCCTCTCTGCATCCACACCTTTTCCTTCTCCCCCTGCCATTCCCTTACCAGTAGGATTTTTGTTTTTCTTATTTCCCCACATTTGGGCAATAAAGTTTGGTGAGAGCAAACCCAGAGGGCAGGCTCCTGCACTTCTTCTATTTCACATTATCATATTTATAATATTTTAGACAAAAAACAACAAGGTAGGGAAAGACACGGCATGGACATGGCGTGGACCCAGCCCTGCAGATTTCCACCACAGAAGCTTCAAAAGGCTTTTGGTGAGCAGAAACCAGCAGCTTGGTGACAGTGCCTGGGACATTCTGAGTCCCCCCAAGCTCCCTTGGGCATGGTCCTGATCCACACAATGCCTCTTGCAGCTTTTTCTCCTCATAGGCAGCTGTCAGCATTCCCTGGCTCCTGCCTGCCTGCTCCCACCCAGCCCTATGCTGGGGGCTCCAGCCAAGAGACACCACCAGCCACTGCCATCACTGGGGCAAGCCATCGGTGTACGAGGGCTGGCAAATCACAGCCCAGTTGTTAATAATCCCTCCAAACTAACCGAGTGGTTGGGAGGCATTAAAGTTACTGTTTGCAGTAAAGCCCCCATCCGTTCGCTGGAGAGTTTAATATACAGCAGGAAGTATCACCTATAAAAGGCGAGGGTTATGTTTTCCTCCACTTCACCAGGAGTCTATAACTTACAACCTCCATAAATGTGAGTGGGTCTCACAAGTCAGCCCATCAGTCTTTGGAGTAATTCTGCTTTGTAGTAAAATGTTTTATTGTGCCTTAGATGCAGCAGCCCCCTGCCTCCAGGCTGGCAGAGGGATGGTGGCCATCCCTGGGTCCCTCTTCTGGAGGAGTGATGCTGCCCATTCTTTGGGCATGGTGGGTGCAGCAGCCTAGAAACAAAATAAAATAAGATTGAAAAAATAAAGTAAAACAGAATAATCCTGCTCACAGACATGAGCTATTGGGAATGTGTGCTACTCCTTCTAATTATTGCTAATGAGATAGACTTTTAATAGCTTTATAGGTGAATTGTGGTGGCCTTCTGTGCGCTGGCTGTTCAAGGTGGCAGTGCTGCCCTCGGAGCTGCACAGGAAGGGGGAACCCAGGAACAGTGGTGCAGGGGTGCTTGGTGCTGGCAGAGGAGGAGGGTGGTGAGGAAGAAGCCCAGAGGAGGGTCAGATGGATGGGTACTGGCTTGGCACAGCCACAGGTGCTGATGGCACAGAGGCAGGGCTTGACCGAGACCGGGTGGAAGAAATCCACATGTAAAATCACCTCCTTGCCAGGTCCTGCGGCCACCAAAAGGCTTCGTTCACCCCCAGAATCAACCCAGTTTGCCTGCAGCCATCTCTGGCCCCAGGGCAGAGCAGCTGAGCGGGGCTGGGAGAGTCGAGCTAATTAAAAATGCAAATGAAGGATGGGGCCGCGGCTGCTGTCACTTTCCGAAGGTGCAAATTACGAGGAGGGTTTATTGGCAGGTTCTCATTCAGAGCCGCATCCCCGTCTCCCACAGCCACCGGCCTCGAAGGGCGGGCAGCCCCTGCCTCACCACTGCAACCGCCCGACAGCTGGAACGGGTTCTGTCTTTCCGCCCCTTGAAGCAACCTCCGGAGCAGGGAAAAGGGGGCAGAAGGAAGGATGGGGGGAAATAAAGTTGATAAAAAAAAAAAAAAAAAGAAGGAAAAAAACCTGTTTACCTGTTTTTTGGTGGGGTTTTTGTGTCTGTTTTCCTTTGTTTCATTCCCACCTCTTCGTATGAATATGATTCTTCAAAATGAAAAAAAGAAGAACATCAGAGGCATATACTCGCTAAAACAAATTACACAGGGACTAAAGCAGCCCTGTCCCCTGCCAGCAGCATGCTTGAGCCCACACCACAAATACCTCATTTCTGCTCCATCCATCACTACATGGCTTCGTGGCATTGCCCCTAAATATTCAGTATATTCTTGGAAACACTGCCCTAGCTCAACCTGTAAAATCCAAGCTGCAGCCCACCCAGCACAGAGAAGAACCCAAAGATGGAGGTGACCCACACAGCTCTGTCCAGAGCAAGACCCTGAGCACAGCTCATCTCCCCAACACTTCAACACATGGGGGGTTTGCCCAATTCTCCTGGGTTTGGGGGTGATTTGGAAGCAGCCATGGCAGGGACCACTGCAGTGATTGCCGAGGGCCACGCCAGCAATTCTCCCACTCGCTGACTCAGCTCCAGCGCAGCTCCCTCATCCTGCAGCTAATTAGGCTCCAGCCTCTCGTCTTGTTAATAAGCTTCCAGTTCATTTGCATACACAAAAAAAAGAGAGAGGAAAAGCAAGCAGCTCATTTTGCCTTCAACATGTGGCTAATGCTTATTAAAATATTTAACCTTTTATTATGGCACAGAAGCATCTGTTCAGGCAGAGCATGGTGCAGACAGATGCAGGCATTGCGCTGCTTCTCCTGCCTGCCAGCCTCTACCAGGCAGAGCCCAGCAGCAAGACCCTAGCACTGTACAGGGACACCCTATGGAGGGTCCCCACCAGTGTCTGCCAGTGCAGAGCTATTGCAAGCCCCTGAGGCAATGGGAAGATGCCACAAAACACAGGGAACTTCAGCTCCTGGGCGCTGTGTCCATGGTCTGCGGCATTTCCTGAGCCTGACTGCAGCATTAGGTGGTTAATGCCACTGAGCTGCCTCAAAACTCATCTTTCTAGCTATTGCCTTTCAGAGCTAAATAAAAAGGGCCCAACTACCAAGACCCTGCTTCTATCAAGACCTCTGTCTTCTCAAGACCCCTCCTCTCCTATTGAGACCCCTCTCATAGTGAGAACCCCCCTCCAGGAGCTGTATTTCAGCAACAGCCACCCCAAGCACTGGGCACGCACACCCAGGTGCCCCCTGAAAGGTAGCACCACCCCTGGGACCAAGCCCAGCTTTGCAGGCGTGAGCAGGAGTGAAGGAGAAGCTGCTGTCCCAGCTGCAGCCATGCAGGTTATTTGCTGATGATTAATTAACCGGGGACTAAGAGGTTTGTGAGGGAAGTGGGGAGCACTGCCTGGAGCCCAGCCACCATGGGGCTGTGCTGGGACACAGTGGTGCTCCCGGCCACCGCTGCTGCCAGCTGCCCAGTGCCAAGCAGGGCTCTCCAATAAATCTCCTGTGCTTCCAGCACGGCTGGGCTTGTGGAAAAGTCAGCTGTGCAAAAGGGCTGGCGGCTACACAGCTGTGACCTCTGTATGAAATAGAAGACATAAATATAATCATCTATATAATGTATTTATGTGCATACATGTGTAGGTAGAAGTGACTTGGTAGTGTGCTACCTCCCAGGACCTATAAACCCCCTGAGATTTGTAATCCTGGTGAGCACAAGCAATGCATTTAATGCTTGGAAAA